CTATCATTAATCGTTTCAAAGAAACAAATGAAAATGAAAGGAAGAAAGATGATACTACTGTTCATCTCTATTAATGCATAATTTGTGACAGTTTCAGCTTTATACAGTAGAACTATTTTAACATTCGTATTGCAGATTCTGACTTTGATATTGGTTAACAGTTGTTTTGAATTGCATATGTTCTTCAATTGTATGAATACTGTCTTTGATTTGCCAATCCTTTCCCTGTACATATATGTCAGATCCTTATTGTTCATCAAGTGATGCTGTTCAGGTACATGAAGAATTTAGCATATTGGGTTGGTGTCCTCCATGTTGTATTTCAGGACTTTTGATTTTTCTTCTTGTATAGTATGTTGACGTTTACTGCTTGAAAGGCTGATGCTATACTGTCTGTCTTCATTTTTATTAGATGGTATATGCAGGATAGAAAACTTAGGTCATCTGTAAAGTCCATGTTGCCCAATGATGTCATTATATCCGATGTTGTCCATTCTGACTTTGACATTTGGGTCTCTCATCAGGATGATCATTTCCTTACTTGGGCACATCACTGGTCGATTTCAGACTCTTGTAGAGGCGTTCGTTTCTATGATTGCTAGGTGCAAAACATTTGATAACATTCAATTTTATTTTCTCCTTCTTTGTTTCGAACGATGCTTCGATAATTCGGAATCCGTAAGATTCTCATTCAATAAGTGCTTTTGATGCTTCCTTGGACAGCATCAGAGCAACTGTATGAGTATATGGAGCATTTCCTTCTTCATGACCATATTATAACAGCATCTCTCCCGATTCTAATGTTTTCTGTTCAATTTGTATCTCCTCATTTCCATAGCTATTTGACTGATCCTTCCAGTCTCTCACATTGTGCGGACATTTTATATACTTATCATAATTGTTTATATGGTTGTTAGAAATATCATCAGTCTCGTAACTTCAAAAGAATGTTGGCTTTCACCATGAGACGTTATAATTCTTCTTCTGAATGAACATCATTCAACTTTTAGGAGAAAGTTAGCGTTTTTTATGGGATTTCATTGCTGACCCTAGGTGTGAGATCGTCAGTAACTCTACAAGAGTTACAGCAAGAGTTATAAATAGATTGAAGTTCAGTAGAAATTTGAAACGAAATACTTCGATTTTGATAAACGACTATATGAATCGATTTGTCGGGATACGTATGCACCATACAGTGAATGACTTTATCGTTAAAAACTGAACATACATTAATCAATATAAAATTCACTGATAGGATCTATTTTGAACGAGTTTATCATTAAACTGTAGAACCATCAGTCGCCTAAAGGTTAAGCGCTTGTGCGCGACACTGATAGGTCCTGTGTTCGAATCTCGACGGACAGGATCATGGATACGCACTACTGAGGAGTCCAACATTAGGACAAAACGGTCGTCCAGTCCCTCCAGGTTTTCCATGATGATCTAACTTCAATTGACTTATGATCTCAACCATCGAAATTACTACAATCTGCACAAAACACCTTCTGATATACATATATGCTTATTTATATATGAAATTTTAGGTATGATCAAATGAACAAAGAATAAAAATGATGACCTAATCGAAAGATTACGATATCAAATTATGTAATGTAAATAATATCAAGAAACCATGTATATATATGTAGAGTAAAGGCATACTTATCGGCGTCCGACAATGGTGGTATTCCTTGACTTAAAAGCAGCGTTTGACTCTGTTGACCGAGAGGTTCTGTGGCAGTGTCTGTCATTGAAAGGCGTACCTCAGAAGTACATAAACCTTGTGAAGGCTCTTTACTCGAACACTACTAGTCGGGTCAGAGCCTATGGCAAACTGTCATCTGCTTTTGCAACCTCAAGTGGCGTCCGTCAAGGCTGTCCACTTTCTCCTTTTTTGTTTAACATTATCATAGACATCCTGATGGAAATAACGCTCTCATCGACTGACTTCTCGGGTATTGATCTCCTACCAGGAGGTCCACTTATTGACTTAGAATACGCAGATGACATGGTCCTGTTTGGTGAAGACGCTGATGAAATGCAGAGTCTTTTGGTAGCACTGAGCAACAATGCTAGAATGTTTGGGATGCGCTTTTCTCCCTCTAAATGCAAGTTGTTGCTTCAGGACTGGTCTGCATCAACACCTGAACTAAGGATAGGGGGTGAAGTAGTCGAACGCGTTGACAACTTCACTTATCTTGGAAGTCTGATCAGCCCTAATGGGTTGGTGTCTGACGAAATCTCAGCACGGATTCGAAAAGCTCGCTTGGCCTTTGCCAACTTACGTCATCTATGGCGAAGGCGAGATATCCGTCTATCAATTAAGGGACGAGTATACTGCGCGGCAGTTCTTTCCGTCCTTCTATACGGCTGCGAAACATGGCCTTTAAGAGTGGAAGATATTCGTAAGTTACTAGTATTTGACCACAGGTGCCTTAGAAATATTGCGGGTATCTGCTGGGATCACCGGGTAAGTAATAGTGAGGTTAGACGCAGGGTACTAGGGAATGATGGTAAATCAGTTGATGAGGTTATGAATCTTCATCGACTGAGATGGTTGGGCCACGTGTTGCGTATGCCTGAACACCGATTACCACGACGCGCAATGCTGACTAGTGTAGGGGATAACTGGAAGAAAGTTAGGGGCGGCCAAACCAAAACGTGGCATCAGTGCTTGAAGTCACTAACTTCTGGTCTGAGCCATGTTGGAAGATTCAGACTGCCTGGTTGGGGTCCGCGTGACTATCGTAACCAATGGTTGGAGACTCTTGGTGACATGGCTCAGAATCGATCACAATGGCGTCGGTGTATACACTCTCTGTCTTCCTTAAATTAAGAGATTAAAGTCGCTTCATATCTGTCTAGGAACTAATTCTTTCTTCCTTTACTATCTCCTTATACACAATCTTTCTTTTATATACTACTACCTTTGATGTGACTACTTTTATGAATCCGGTGTTCATCTTGTTGTGCTAATGCGGTATGGCAACTTGGACCGATGCATATACGTGCCTGGTCCTACGTTGCAGCTGACTGACTGACTGACATAATGGGAATAAAGTAAGATAATTAGTTTCTAGTATGAGGCAGTTGTGAATGTAAGCTCATTGGTTCAAAGGTTAAATATTCTCGTGCAAGAGCTTAGATCCTGGGTTTGATTCTCCTTAATGAGGTAGTAGTAGAAGTATATACTCCTGTGAAATTCTGTACTAGAATGAAATGGACGCCCTGTGTATTCAGTTTAACAATTGTTGTTTAGCTTACACCATTTTTGAATGATAGAAATAGACCATTGCTTTATCTCCCCCCCTCCCCTTTATATTTTGTGGTATCCTTGGATACGTGATTTAACTTGATTGGTTTTTATGTCAAATAAACATGACAATTAAATCTATGATCTGATTGGCTGAATAGAATAAGTACTTTATGTATATGTATTACACTTCTCAAAGAACCTTCTTATCTTTATTGAGCTACTGTAATTTATAATCGTAACTGATTGTATAAAATATTGTTGTCATTTGTGTTGAACTAAATTCATATTTATACATTAGTGTTCATATAAGTAGTATATTTTATGTAATGGTTTTGATTAATCTTCTAAACCTCTGAATTGTAGGCCTCTAGTGTACAAAGGTGAGTAAAGAGGTGAAATGTAGACTCTTACTGTTCCTAAGTTTTAGTTATTTATTTAAACATTTAAACATTGGTAAAAGAAAGCATCAAATAGATATAAGACACATAAATCATTCGATTTATGTGAGGTCTGGGATACTGACCAGGTTACCAAACCGAAGAAGGTGGTTTGCTTAGGAGGTCACACTCTAAGCATTCGACTTAAACATCTGATCCACAAGATAGTGAAGCAACGTCAAGATATGTAGTCCCATGATAGACGGTAACCATCAATTGGTTGATAAATCATTTGTTCCTTCAGGATTTTATAATTCATGTGCACGATTTGTTTGGAATCAGGGTTTATCAACTCCTTTAGGTGGACTCTTCGTATCCACCAACCTGGTTAATGCACCAGACATTCACTTTTCGTCCTCTCAATTTCGTATACAACACCCGTGGTGCGAGAAGGTAATGAGTAGGACTTTCCTGGTAGTGATTGTATGAACGTGACCATATGAGAGCATTTTGAGAGGGATAACTAACTCTCCTCACTCTCGGTCGTACCAGGACCTTTAGGAGCACTATTCCCAAGAAATACACTAGTTCACATGAACTTCATATATAGTTCTATTCAACAAACCTGATTTCCAATATGTAGTTGAAATCATCTCTTGGTCAAATGTCAATTTTTATGAGTATTCTGCTAATATTCAAACCTTATAATTCACGAACAAAAAACAACATAGATATGGTTTCGCTTGGCTTGTATCTTCCTATTGTTGTTTAGGATTGCAATCGATAGGACGAAACGCGAATGCTGGATTCCACTTCTAGCCACTATCTATTTTTTCTTATAAGTGATATGATGACATTAAGATATTAATCAATGATGACTATAGGTGTCTAAATGATTTTACCATTTGTTCAGCCATTTAACTCACACATAATTTAGTTCAATCTAAAATGGTTATTTAAATGTTATATTGAGTTTAATATCAGAAGGAGTTTTGTGAAGATTGTAGTAATTTCAATGGTTAAGATCATGAGTCAGTTGAAGCTAGATCACGACCATGAGAAACCTGGGAGCACTGGATGGCCATTTCGTCCTATTATGGGACTCTTCAGCAGTGCGCATCCACGACCTCACCCCCTGTGAGATTCGAACCCATGAAATACTGGTTTCGCATGGCGAGCATTTAACCAATTACACCACTGATTTGGCTGGCATCCAACGGTGTTAATGACTAACTTCAACTAATCCACCAAATTGAGCGACATATCCGTATTGAGTTTATTTCTTGAATATCTTTCATTGTCGATATACACTTTGTATTACTATCATAAATTAAACTGTCGATCTCACCAATTTTGATGATTTTTAGGCTCGTGTTGAATTAGTTTTAATATTTGTTAAAGTTGGTCAAGTAGATACAGTAAATGAACGATATCAAGCAGATATATTCCTTCAAGCAAGATGGCGTGAACCATTACTTGATGCTATGTGGAATAAATCTAGTTTAAAATCAAAAAGTAATTGGCAAACAAATCCTTCCATTGAAAATCCATTTACAGATTTAACTTCAAAACGACAATTGAATACGGTAAGTCTATTCTTTTTATTTTTGTTTTTGAATCTTACATTATTGAAATGATCTTAATATGTTATACTTTACTTGAAATGAAATCGATGATACTTGTGTTAGTCTAATTGGATACATTGAATGTTGTAGAATTTTCCCAGAGCTCCAAGAAGTATCTGTATGTCAATGAAGTTTAATCACATTAGAAGCGACATAGTACCAAATGATGATTGTATAGTATTATGAATCAAATGAAGTTAGTACTCCGTAAATGTAACATACCACCCTGGTTAGCTGTTATATCCCGATAAGCATAATGAATGGTAACTGTTGAGGATCTATTGATGGACTGATACTATACGTATATTGTTATCGTATTATTGTTATGCAACTAAACTATTCAGATTACTCTTATTATAGGCTTTATTTTGATCTATGAACTATTGACCATTCTTGAATTATGTCCTGTCTATTAGTCACTACCTCCCACATTCATAGCCACATTTGGCCACATCTTGTACAAATATTGTTTCCTATTTTATTGGTACGATGTGGTCTGTCTGGTTGGTATATAAATCCAGTATGCTTGATATGAAGGATTGATATTGTAGATGCTCGGATTGATGTTCTGGACTTAACTGGCTGAGCTAGACAGGAAGTAAGATCAAATGAGGACTCTAGACTGCTCATACGGGTTTTACGCGTCATTGATCCGATTGATAAGTCATTGCTCTCTAATCGATAGTCACAAATTATAATAGTAGCCTAAAATACAAGTGTTCACTCTGTAACAAATTTATAAGTGATGATTCTGATGAATCCCAAAGGAGGCGGTCGTCCAGTTAGTTATTCACTAATGTGATTTAAGTCGATAATAATATACAAGAATAGTCAGGATGTATATTTCGAAAGCAATCATTTAATAATAATCATTACATTAAGTTAATCTACACAAATATCTAACTAACCAGTAGACACAGAAATTTTACATGAAGAAAGACTTAAAGTAAAAAAGTACCAGCCATCTTTATCATTATAACAGTTGAATTCACGAGTTCAGCTAAGCTAGACAGTCGTTTCGTTATAGTATGAGACTCCCCGATTAGGCATATCGACGATCTCACACATGGAAATTGACTCAAAGACATTTTGATCTCGTGTGAGAACGTTTCACCTTTGGACCACTAAACCAGCATTCAACGGTGTTAATGTCTAATTTTAATTGATCCATGATCTTGTGTAACCTTTCATTTATTGACTAATGTAGATAAATGTCTCACATCCAATACAGATTGAACTCTAATGGTTATTGTTTCTCATTAGAACTACAGGAAATCTATCTTGAAACTAGTCACAAATGAGCACAAATACTACAATCCCTACAAATTCCCATATTGATTTTTGTCATTATTGAAGAGGTTAACTAAATGTTATTAACGACTAATATCTAAATCCTATTGCTTACACTATAGATTAACGAATACAATCATTTGATATTGTTTACTTGAATTTTCTCATTGATGATCAGTCACTTATTAGTAAACGTACATTCTGTAAGAATTACCTCAATATTGCTTTCATTCACTAAGCCTTATCAATATAGATGAATAGTGGTTAGTGTTAGAATCCAGGACACGTACCACTTTGTCCTATTTAGAACTCATCATTTGAATGTACCAATATCTCAGAGTTAATATACACTCTATGACTTGAACCCGATAATGTTCACTTCAAATACCATCGCATTATCTACTTAGCTATACATTCATGATAGTCATTTGTTTGTGCAATGGAATGAAATCTAAGTTCACTTTGTCTCATTTGTGTTTAAATCTTATCATTAATGTTTAAGATTGAAATGGATCAATCTCTTTTAGATTTCACTACTATCCACTATCCATCTTTATTCATATAATCAAATCTAGTTTATATATAATGAACTAATAATGTGTTTTATTCTATTCACATCATCTACTCCCATCTAACTGTCATAAACAGTTGTTATAAATAGTAGTTTTAATGACACATTTCATTCATTCATATATATGCGTCCTATACATTACTAGTTCACAATAACTTTAACTAAATGATATCTCTGAGATTCATATGATTACAATTACAGTTTAATAACATTAAACATTCTTTAATCCATCATACTTAATACAATCAGATGATAGAAACAAACAGGTCAATTTATTATTTACAATCTTCTCAATCATAATAATGTGACAGGGGGCGGGGAGGTTGTGTAAATTGTTACCTTTTCTTTTTTTTTCTTTTTATTTTTGATTGAGATCATGAATCGATAAATGTTAGATCATTATTAAAAACCTAGAAGTACTTGACAACTATTTTGTCCTAGTGTAGGATTCCATCCACACACACACACACACACGGGACTTGAGAGCAGGACCTTGAGTTTTACTTGAGAACATATAAACTTCTAAACTACTGTTATGGCTAGTATTCAATGGTATTAATGTCTAACTTCAGATAAACCATATAATTATCTGATCATCTTTCATTGTATTGAGGTAGAGACCTATCTCTACTTGATATGGCTTCTCATTAGAACTTGGAGAATCACTTTGCGATGTCAATCATTAGTGAGTACATAGTTTGAACGATGGTCTAGCATTCATCAATTCATGATCTCAATCAAAAACATAATAATCATTCAGTCATGTAAACTACAAGTTTTATTGATTATTTCCTCTAAGAATCTTTACTTTTTGTTTTATTAAACTACATGTTTATATAATTTTTTTATTTAATTGAATAATGAACAGCACCTAAAAGCCCTAGTACGGCCATAAGGGGGTGGAGAGAGGCATCAATCCCTCACAAAATGCTCTTATATGGCCATGTTCATACAAACACTCCCATGGAAGTCCTACTGACAGACTTCTCTCATCGACAGTGTTGTCTACGAAATTGCTTTAACCGGATTGGTGGATAAGAAGAGTCCACATAAGGGAGTTGATAAACCATGATTCTAAATCAATGGTGCACATGGATTCGAGGATCCTAAAGGAACAAATGGTATATGAACCAATTAATGATTACCGTCTATCATGGGACTACATATCTTGACGTTGCTCCACTGCCTTGTGGACTAGACTTTTAGATCGAAGGCTCCGAGTGTAGCCTACTAAACAAATCATCTTCTTTGGTTTGGGCACCGGGTTAGTGTCCTAGCTTTCGCACTAATCGAATGATTTATGTGTCTTATATCTATTTGTTACTTTCTTGTACCAATGTTTGTATGTTTAAATAAATAAATAAAACAATAAACAATGAACTAATGGACAAAATTCAGGATGGTTTTCATGATTTGATTGTTTCTTTTGTATTGTAAATTGAATTGTAAACAAAGATTGTTCGTGAACCAGTGAGCAAGTAAACAAATGAGAACAATAGAATGTAATTGAATACAAAATTACAAAACGCCTAAGTAAAATCTAAGAATCATATAGTAAATATACTTGGTATTGTTTACTTGAATCTTCCCATTGACCTGACTGTTGTTGCTACCTTGACGGGGTGGTCGTGCTTGCCTATTGTGATGAAGCAACCGAGCTATATTGGCTGGAACAACCGTTCCTCAAGGTCCTACCATGCCAGACAGGTCGGTTGAAGAGCGGTAAGACTAAAAGCAACAAAACCAAGGTCCGAAGGCGAAGTCGTACTGCTCACTGTACAGAGGTGTGACAGCAGTAAGGTGTTTCCTTCACACAACCAGCATAACAGCGATGCTGCCTTCCCAAAAGGAGGGGTGGGGTTAGAAAAGGTCGACCCTAAAAATGCACACCTCGCCTTATCCCACGGATATCCGTCTCAGGCGGTAAGGTCTCAACAAGTACGGAGCTAACACAAAAATTACTCATAAAAAGGTCGTGTGTGACCGACCTCAAGCAGCTGTCCCTTGGGCACTGCGGTCACGCTCTCAGGTCACTATGGCCACCTCTAATCCAATTTCCTTTTCATTTACCTCCGGCAGAACCCTTCCACGGTGTGGGCGACCGGGCAGTGATAACCGCCCTCATACCTCTAACATACCTCTTCCCATTGATGTTTAGAACTGTAATTGGCATCCCATGCAGATTACCTCTATATTGCCTTAGGTCACAAGCATTATAAGCAAACATGGATAGTGGCTAGCAATGGAATCCAAGACGTATGTTTCATTCTATCTGAGACTCATCAGCTGAATGTACCTGCATCTCAAAGTTGATGTTTACTCTGGGACTGGAAATCAGTACCGTTCACTTCAAACGCCATTACGTTATCCACTTAGCTAGTGAGTCATGATAATCACTTGCTTGTACGGTGGTGTAAAATTTAAATTCACTTGATGTTGTTTGATTTTATCTTTATAAATAGGAAGAAATGCACATCCTCGTTTCCATGAATAATCACTAATCATTTTTACATACATTGAATACTTCATTTGCAAAATGTCAATCAGTTGTCTAAAACTTGACTGCTCCTTCGTTTCTACACCAATCATTGTCTGTTCTCATTCTCTTCTCTTCGATATTCTTAACGTTCTCTCACCAGTCATTTCACATTCGATTGATGATATATAATACTTATATCTATCAACATTATTAGCATACACCTTAATATTAATATGAAAAGGGGTTTCATGGATAATACAGTAATTTTAATAGTTGAATTCATAAATCAATTGAAGCCAGACTACCACAGAAAACCTGGAAACACTGGACAGCCATTTCGTTCTACTGTGAGATTCCTTAGCAGTGACTGATATGTCGTGCGTTCGAATTTTGCGAGACGTGATCGTAAATGTGCACTGCTGAGTAATACCACAATAGGACGAAACGGCCGTTCAGTCCCTCCAGGACTCATGATCTTAACCTTAAGATTACTTGAGACAAGTTACATATTAACAATATTCATTTGTTAATTATTATTAGGGAACATAGAGTCACTGGATGGCTTTTCCGTCCAAGTTTGGGACTCCTCAGCAGTGCGAATCCACGATCCCGCCCCATGCG